TAAATTGAATTAGTTCAAGAGTTATAAAATTTATTTTTGCATGTTTTAACATTTGCTTACTTCAACAGTTGTTCTCTTTATTCCTCTGATTTCGTCTTCTATATCTTGCAATGTTTTATCTTTGGTTTCTGGTAATATATAATATAATACAAATATACAAAGTAGTAAGCATAATCCGTACATAAAGTACATTCCTTGTAATCCTATTTCTTCTATTATAACAGGTGTAAATTTCAGGCTTATGAAATAAAACGCCATAAATGATATTCCTGAAACAGAGGGCCCCGAACCTTTGTATTCTAAAGGAAATATTTCCCCAATAATGTTGTAACTAATAGGTATCAGTCCAATGCACGTTATAAAGTTTTGTATCATTATAACACTAAGTGCAATCCAAGATAAATATGATAGTGTCACAAATTGTGATTTTAAATATATCAAAATACTTATTATTATCATTAACAAACCTGACGTAAATCCTGAACAAAAAACTACGGTGCGTCTTTTAAATTTGTGTATAACAAAAAGAGATGCAAATATTGCGACTATTGTTATTACATCGAAAAACATCGTACAATATGCTGCAGACGATTCGTTCCCAACGATTTCTTTCATTATTTGTGTAACATATATAAGAAAATAAAATCTACCAGATGCGTCCACAGCTAGCAACAATAGCGTGGTTACAAAAAAAGGCTTGAGAAATGCTTTGTCACGGCACAAGTGTAACAATTGTATTACCATATTAGATTTATTTAATTTATTCTTTAGTCTCGTTTCTGTCTGGGCCGCAATTAAAATTCTCAATTCGTACTCTTTTTCTTCTGACTTTCCGTGCAACCAATAGAAGGAATGTCTGCATTCATCAATTTTTCCTTTTAAAGCTAAATAAGATGGACTTTCTGGCCAATACCAATTGATAATCATTGCTATCATAGCAGGAAATATAGAAAATATAGATATTTGTCTCCAAGTCCAACAAAGAGCCAAAGTATGACTTGCTAAAACTCCGAATGATACAGATAATTTCTTAATAGCTACCATATAGCTTCTTCTTTTAGGATCAGAATATTCACATGCGATAATACTATTAATAAAAATGGATCCTAAATAAAGTCCGTGGATTAATCTAGCGATGAAAAGCATAACCATGTTCTTGGCTAGTGCAAGTACTAATAGACCTATTGCAACTGTTACACTTACGCTAAAATGTGTCATTTTTCGGCCAATTTTTTGCATCATTGGTGAAAGTACAAAATAGCCAACTAAACCCGTGATACTATTGCAAGCAGCTGAAACAAGCACAGTAATGTTAATAATAACTAGCTGACCCACGCAGCTTCATCTGCATGACACTCACTTAACATTTATTACTATACAAGCTGTGCCCGCGGTTTCACCCGCGTGAAATTTATAGCCTATGTGTTATTCTGATGTATAAGCTAAATCACTGTAAAGTTTCAACAAAACCCGTTCTATAGTTTCTGCATGAAAGAGTACCAAACATCTATCCATACTCACAAACTTTCGCATTTGCAATATTAATAAATAGATTTCGCACAATTTACATAACATCTTGTTAAATTATACCCTATGTAATTCTGATGAATATGCTATATTTCTGTAAAGTTTTATCAAAATTCATTCAGTAGTTTAACACTAAAATAAATTAGTTAACATTCTTCATACGCACAGCGCCAAGCTAAGCAGGCCTTGTGTTATGGGGACTAAACAGCTAAATACTTTATTACATTTTTTAAAAATACATACATAATACGTGTACATAGAAAACATACAGACGAATACAAATAATCATACTCATGAGCAAATGTTCCAATACGGTTCGTAAGACGGTGTGCTAACCCGCTAGGCCATCGAGGTTTCATGGTGACAAATCTTCTTAAATGGCTGATGCATTCATCATTAGAACAGTTATGAAAAATAATGCAGCAAGAGTACAGTCTGAACTGTATATATAGAAAACTGCATAAGATAGCTGGAGTGAAGATGGTAAATAATAAAATTACATGAATCTTGAATTATGCAGATATCACTGAAAATATTTAGTAGATCTTTTCAGTAATAGAATCAACAAAGTTATAATTTTCGTCTGTCTGTTTGTTTCTACAATAGTTTGGTATAAATAACTTACCCAACCAGGAAACCTCATACGGCGTAGCCTTAATGTCTGATGTATTTGGTGATAGTAGTATCGGATTCAATACTGATGGTAGTATTACACTCATGGACCCGCAAAAAAGCTTGAAATATGATGCCGGATGCAATAAAACACTGTAACAGAATAGTTATAGCATGTTAAGTATTATTATTAACTAGCGGCACGGATATATAACAAAAAACATACATTTTAATACACACACACACACCCTTTTTTGTATCGATGATTACTAAAAAAGATTAGATTATGAAGAATTCAAAATATCTTAGTCTATTACAGACTGTTATGCTATGAGTCTGTAATAGACTCTTTTTAGGTCTATTATGATATGTCAAATCTACCGTCAGTTCGGAATGATTTTGAGGTGAGAATAACTGGCTTCTTGTCAGTTATTCTCTCACACTCACTCAGCTCGTATTCTTTTCAAATAAATGTCGGTAACAAAAATACAGATTCATTTCTTAATTTAAAGAGAGATAGAAAGAAGGAAGTTTGAGTGCTATTATTTAATGGATTAAAAGTAGTTATTTTGAACCAACTGTAACAGTTCAACAAATGGTATTATGAACAGAAAATTACATTCCGAACTTACCATACCTGAAGTATCTATAACTGAACATACCTACATTAAAAATATATTTTGAATTAATTTGATATAAATGTATGTCTTCCGGGCTGCGATGATGAGATGATGAAATGTATGTAATGAATAAAAATAAAAATTACTCACCTGTCTAAGAAAGTACTTATCATACATTTTTGCTTGAAACCAATGATTGTTGGACATTAGCGAACACATGACGTTTGCATTCATATATCCACACACTTATACTACCAGGTGACATATGCATTGATATACATTTAGACATGTCCACTTACTCATCACAAAATAAAACTTTTGTAAAATATGTTTTAAAATATTGGCTACAGTTACGCAGTTTTGTAATTTGTAAATTCGTATTGTTATTATGTTGTATGTGTAACCGATGACGACTACGCTTTTATCAATTTCTAACGCACAATTCACATCTAACGGTTATCATTTACCGCGCCTCAGAGCGTACGATATTAAATAAATTTAGTTATTTATTAATTAATTTAAAGTAATCTATTTTTTTTATGTTGTGAGAAGTAGCTTTCGCGAGTAGTTTGTGATACACAGAGTACTATGGGCGCATTTTATGAAATGAATAAGGATTCGCTTGAATTCTATGGAATAATTAACTCTGCATTACGTTCAGCTCACCGCATTCTTTCGACGAATGCGGTGAGGCAACACTATTAAATTCTAACACCCTTATAGACGTAAAATAATCATCATCATCATCGTCATCCTTCCACCGTGTTCCGCCTTCCGCCTACTACAGGCCACCTTTTTAATGTAGTAAACTAATAACATATAATATTTCTAATAATTTATACAAGTTCAGACGCCGTAATTACATAGAACTGTCAAATTCAATTTTAGTTTAAAATACCAACTCTATGTATTGTGTGATGATTTGAACAATTTAAGATTATTACCGTGAATTAATTTTAAAGATACGAAATTCATGTTTATCTAAGATTTATATTTAACTGAAATTATATCACGAATAAGAAAATAGTAGTAGTCTCACATAATCAAAATCAATCAGTTATCAGAATTCCTAGAATGCAGTCGACTATGTGCGCATTCTGTGAAGCCAAAAATCATGTGGAATGCAGACGGCTACTACGCGGTTATTTTTTTTATTTATGCCATAATGGTTGCTATCCGTCATACATCCATTCTGATGCTAAACAGTTACCGTACCAAAGCCGCCAAATACATAGTTCATTGACATATGTCATGCGCCGACAACCTGTGCTTAAGTTAATTTATGTAACAAACGATTCCTGATTAGTTGGGTTTATATGGATTTTTAATGCTTCTACGATTTTATCTCCATATTGAATATTTTAAATGAGTTACATCAAACTGCATCACAACGCGGAGGCGAGGAATACATATTTGTCAATCGTCTAAAGTAGTCTAAATAAATGCACGTAGCTGTCATGTTGGTGTAGGTTTGTTACCGGTGTGTTGTTTACACAGCAGGTTACAAGTTGAGCGAAGCGCGTTTATTCTTAAAAATTCGACCTTGACCGATCGGATTTTTGAGTGGTACACGATGGAGGCCCAAAAGTCGACCACTTTCAATGAAATTTTGGTCTCGATCGGTCTAGCCGTTTCCGAGCAATATCGTTACAAAGAGACGTTACGTTGCATATTTGAACTCTAAGATAGCTCCACGCTTCGCACTCCGCTCTCGCTCACTAGACTGACTATTGATTGGATCGAATTAATGTTTCTGGTGATGATAAATTAAATATTTATTAAATTTTAAATACTTTATTTTTAGAACTTTATATAAATAAATTATAACATAATAAGGAACCTATTAAAAGTTTAAATATATTTGATACTGGTGATGTTAATGAATTATACACCTAAACCTTCCACAGCCATTACTCTGTTGATAAATGAGAACGTTATAAAAATCTGTTCAGAATTGTTTTATGAGATTATAGCAAATAAATAGACAGACCTCCACATTATAAAATAAAATCAACCACTTTGATTTATAACAAGTGTAGTGTTTCAGTTAAACGGTGAAGGCAGTGAAATTACAGAATAAAAGGCATAAGATGCCCATATTGGCTTCGCATGAGTAATCACGGTTGAAACATGATAATACCTGTAGTACTGTTCATGTATATGGTCAGTGGTTACTATAAGCCATGAGACGGCCTGTCAACTTATATATCGTTGTTATTACATAAAAAAAGGAAAAAGTCATTATTTCGCACATTCTTCCATTGTTTCATCTAACATTGGTTTTACTTCTGTTGCTGTCCTATTCACCCCTTTCATTTCATCTTCAATGTCTTGTAAGGTCCTATCCTTAGTTTCTGGTAATATAAAATATAAGACAAGTATACATAATAACAAGCACAACCCATATATTAAATACATCCCATGTAATCCTGTTCCATCTATAATAGCAGGAGTATATTTCATAGTTGTAAAATAAAATGTCATAAAAGATAATCCCGATACAGAAGGTCCGATACCTCTGTATTCAACAGGAAAGATTTCCCCACTAATATTATAAGACACTGGTATTAATCCTACATACAATACAAAATTAAGTAATATAACAATACAAATTGATGACCACCTTACAGACGAGTAGGAATCTAGTTGGTATTGTTGTTTTAAAAACAGTATTAAACTTAATATTAACATGAGTGTACCTGAAAAGATTCCTGAAGAGAAAAGTACAGTACGCCTTTTGAGATTGTGTATAAGAAAAATTGATAAAAAAGACGCGAGTATTGTTAATAAATCGACAACTATAGTACAATATCCTGCAGTCACTTCATCCGATACAATTTCTCTTATAATCTGTATAACATAAGTTAGGAGATAAAACCTTCCAGACACATCAATAGCTAATATCAATAATGTGGTTAATATAAAAGATTTTAAAAATATCTTGTCACGGAAGCTATACAATATTTCTATTATAATATTACTCTTTTTTCTTTTATTCTTCAGCATAGTTTCTGTCTGTGCGGCCATTAATATCTTCAATTCGTTTTGTTTCTCCGTTGACTTTCCGTGTAGCCAGTAGAAGGAATATTTGCACTCCTCGAACTTTCCTTTCATAGCCAAATACGAGGGACTTTCTGGCCAGTACAAACCATTAATAATTATCATTATATATGGAAATATAGCAAATATCGCTATCTGTTTCCAAGTACAAGAAAGCGATAGCGCATGACATGTTAAAACTCCTACAGTTCCCATCATTTTCTTAATTGCTACCAGATAACCTCTTCGTTTGGGATCACTATATTCGCTTGCAATTACACAATGAAGGTAAACGGAGCCTAGACATAGTCCATGAGTTAGTCTGGCGACGTAGAGAGTCGCTACACTATTAGTGAATATGTAAAGTAACCAACCCATTAACTGAGTTACTGCTGTACCGATGTTTATCACTTTTCGGCCATACTTTTGCATTATTGGTGGTAGAGTGAAAAGCCCGATCAGACCAGTAATGGTATTGCAAGAAGCTGAAACAAGTACTTCAATGTTTAAATAGATTTTTTACTCACTGTTACCCGCAACATCGTCTACTTTTTAAATATCCCATATTCGTCCAAATCACCTTAATTTTCATTGAGCTCCATTCAACCGTTTAGTCACGAAAAGTTTGCAAGTAGAGAGACAGACGGACAGACTAGTTGTTATATTATGATTAAGTGCCTAATATCTATTTAAAACAGGAATTTTTAGTCTGTCCAAACTGAAGATAGGTTTGATTTATCGTTTGAAATAGATCTACATAGTGCTTTTGATGATTTGATACAAAGTTACAATGTCATCTTATTAATATAATTAATTACATAGTTTATAATTAATCACATAGTCATTGAAAACTAATATATAAAATGTGAAACGGTGTTTGTTTCTATATATGTTTTCTGTGCCATCTTGGTGCATTACCTGCACAAATAACAATTACTATGCAATCCGCCAACTATATCATATTTGAGACTTCGTTTTATCCAGATATTTATTTCTCCTGATCAGATACGCATTCGCTTTTAAAAATTACTATAGAACTAATTATATTAATCAACGCAACATCTTTTACATCACACTTTCTTGACATTTATATTACACTAGCTACTCGCCCCGGGTACTTGTATTATACATATAAACCTTCCTCTAGAATAACTTGCGTAGTTTTAAAGATTTAAACATACATAGGGATACACAGCGACAGCGACTTTGTTTTGTAATGATTTCACCCAATTGACATATTGTCTTTTTAAATCATAGCCTATGTGTTATTCTGATGTATAAGCTATATTACTATAAAGTTTCATCAAAATTCGTTCTGTAGTTTTGACGTGAAAGAGTTGTTTGAACGTGTTTCGTATTTATAATATTAGAAAGATTAAATTACCCAGCCAAGAAGCCTCGTCAGGTGTTATTCTGAACTCTTTGGCATTTGAAGACAGCAGTATTGGGATTAAGATTGAAGGAAATGCTAAAGATATGTTTACGCTAAAACATTGCAAAATGAAGCCAGTTGCAACCAAACACTGAAAGGAAATAAAAATAATATGTAGTAACTTAGTACAATTTACACAACACAATCTAGTCCTAAGCTAAGCAGAGCTTATATTGTAGATACTAGACAACTGATAGACATACTTAAATACCATATATATAATATACTATTATTTTATATGTATGTTAGTCTACAATGTATTTATAGTATGGGACATTGATAGTTTGAATTAAATAAAACAAATAAAAACATAGTAGACACCTAGACCAATATAAATAATCATACTCATGAATAGAAATGTTTATATCAAACGAGGAATGGTTCTTGCGACCATTGGAAGTGAGGCGGAGTATTAAATCGCTGGACTGGTCTCGGTGAGACCATCAATACGTTATAATTATATACATCAAAATGTATAGAGATTGTCTAAAACTTGGAGGGACATATGATATATTTTGTCACAAAAGACGCGTCAAGTAAGTAAAGGTAAGTTTTGGTTAGATATCATAAACTTTCTATATTTCGGACCCACCTGTCTTAAAAAGTACTTATTGATCATTGTTGCTATTTCGCAATAAAATACCAGATAACATTAATGACGTCTGATGATGTTTCGTACTGAAAGAAATAAAGAAATGATTAAATTCAACAGCGTTATAATAATTTGTAACAAAATGTACTAGCAGTGGTTTTTTAAGAATATTTTCATGATAATCTGCGGCACTGTTTGCGCGTCTGTGGGTGCAAAAGTGGGTGAGACTTCTTCAAACAAAACTCAGAAAGGGTAAAGAGTTTGTAATCAATGGGGACAAGTAGTCCCATTGCAGGCAATACTTTTTGCGGCCTCCACGCGGTCTGTCCTGGAAACCATTTTTGCTAATTCCTGGTGAATTCACCACGAAGTGCTGACTGACTTGACTTGAGCCGATTATGTCTCTCTCTCCACCAGCGTTCCTAGTCCGGGCAAGTGCATCATCCCAAATTCATCGACTGTCCTTTTGTAATACCACAGATAAGATAATGTAAAAAAATAATCTATAAACTTTTTATATATTTTTTGACATAAATTCAAAATCTGTTCAATCATTTCAAAGCTTACGTTCTTTCTAACATGTTGTTAGTAATGTGGACTAGTAATCCCATTGCTACGCGGTTCCCTCTAGAAACCGTTGTCACCGATTTCTGGCACATTTGTCACAATGGACTAACTGACTTCACTTCATGGTCATCTTATCATCCTCCACTGGTGACCCGCCAGCGTAAGCTGTTAGCGCAGGATGGAAAAAAAAAAAAAAAAGGATGGAGCACCATTCCATTATCATCCATTAAAAAAAATATAAACAACTTACAACTACGAATTGTCGCCAGCATGACCTAATGTTGTCCTAAATTCATATATTTGATGTTATTCACAAGAGCTTCTAGATTGAACACAAACTCAACACAATCTATAATTGTATCAAAGTATAATTATTCTACTCCAACGCGAAACAGAAATATCTCGTCAATATTTAATAATACGTGAATTAAATATAATATAAACTATGTACACAGATGTCTATAGGAAATAATGTGAATTATTAGTGTTCCTTTCTCCAAAAACTTTATTCATTTTAATAACGTTATAAATGATCCAAAATTATGTTTCTCTATTTTTCTTCTTAAATAATCGTCAGTGTATATTTTATAAGGTATGATATTTTTTTATCAATTGCAACAAAAAAGAATCTTTACTTATTTTACATAATATAGAATTAAAATTAATATTAATCTTATACAAAGCATGTCGTATGGATACTCAAAAAACAAATATAGTAAATTTAATTATAAATATGCTATACCTAGACAATATATTCATAAATACAAATATTTGTATTACACGGGGATTCAACCCATGATTGTTAGTGGGCATGGCTAATATACTAGAATGATTACTATTTGTATTATCGTATATTTAGTAGGTTACATTATCAATCAGGTTCAAAGTTATGAAACTGATGAGGTTTTCAAGCATCTGCTGGAATTCTGATGGGCTTTAATTTTTGCAAACGTAAATGCAAATGTAGTATATAAAATTATAATTATGTTGGTTATATTGACCAACGTATATTGGTTATATTGAAACGTAAATACAGTATGTACAATATAAAATTATAACTATGTTGGTCAATGCTGGATCTATTCTTATCTCATGTATCTTCAATTTAATCGGTACGGAACCCGCGTCGTAAGTTCTACTCGCAATTATCTTTTTTCCCAAGGTAAGGTTACCTTTTGTGACGTTTTGACTTTGTAAAGCGAAATTTGTTACCTAACTAATTAATAATTTTGTATGAAATAAATTGTAGTGTATAATATTGTAGTTCGTACAAAATATTTTTTTTTTATTTATGTACAGACTGTTTATATATCTGCTTCAAAAAATAAGAAGCTCCCACTGTTTCCTAGTTTCTTGATCGAACTTAAAAGATACGATATGAATGATGATCAAATCCCCAGTACTCATATCAATATTCAAATTTTTTAATGCAGAAAAAAATGCTAGATACAACTTCTGAGTGCCTGGGCACTCAGTAGTTTATAGCATTTATTTCAAAGCCAATGCTGATTCTGTTATAATCCATTTTTGACCGAAAAACCGTTTTAGAATACAATTGGCTAGATATTTTTTATTATTATATCTATTTTCTAATGTGTCCCAACATTACTGTACATGTCTTACAAGCTGTTAGGCTTCACCAGTGAGATGGCCCTTTAAGTAAAGCATTTTAAAAGATCTTTAGATTTTTCATAAGATAAGTTTTGGTGCCATTTAACACACAACAGCTTACATTTGTAGTAGGATAAGGGATATATGTTCAATTCTTTATTTAACTTATTATACAAAATAGAACTTATGTGGTTATAATGGCGACTAGCTATTGCAGTACGACAAGGATTTAATTTACATATTTTATAAGTTCTGCGTCTTAAATTTGTATCATTTGAAACATATGGAAGCTGAGAATGTTTATGAAGCGTAATGTTTAGTACAAATAGTTGAAGGACAGTTAAAACCTGGCAAATTGAATACAAATCTTCAGTTGGAAAAAGAATTGGTTTTTTGTCATTACCTTCAATACAGATCTTTGTGCTCGTTCAAGTCTCAGCAATATAGTTTTAACTGCTCCTCCCCAGGAGGTAATACGGTATGTAATAATTGACTGTACTAGTGCATAGTATACAGTTTTAAGGCAATTAAAGTCAACGACACTTCTCAAGTTCTTAAAAACATATATCAATTTCCTTACGCGGGACACAGTTGCATCAATATGTTGTTTCCATGCCATTGCATAGTCAAGTGTAACACCAGGGTACTTAAGGGAAGAAACGCGTTCTACTGATATGCACTTACACATTGTAGGATTTAATGTCGTACAAATATGTGGGCAAAAAGATAAAGACGAAGGTGGTTGGGTGGCGTGATTGATTGAAAACGGTATAAATTTTGTTTTTGAAATGTTAAAAGTAAGATAGTTTGATTGAAGCCAATTCATAACAGTTTTTAAGGCATTTTCTGATTGTACTTGAGTTTCCATCCAATTCTGTCCACTAATAAGGAGAACTGTATCGTCAGCACAGGTAATAGTTTTGCAATTTTGAATATTCATATTACAAAGATCATTAATATAAATTAAAAATAAGCTAGGCCCAAGGACACTACCCTGTGGAACACCATAGCTGATATATTCGTCACTGCTCTCCAAACCGTCAATTTTTACAAATTGAGTACGATTTTCAAGGTAACTTCGGAACATATTAAGAGACACGCCTCTATCACCAATAGATTCCAGTTTGTTAAGCAAAATGGGAATAGAGACAGTATCAAAAGCCCTAGAGAGATCCAGAAAGATACCAATTGTTTTTTTCTTATTGTCAAAGTTTAATGGCATAATCGGTAAGTTCAAGGACAGCGTCTTCCGTTGATTTATTATTTCTAAAGCCGAATTTATTATCTGATAGTATATTACGACTATTGATAAATTTGATAAGTCTACTATTTAGAATTTTTTCAAAAATCTTTCCAAATATAGAAAGCACAGAAATAGGTCTATAATTTGAGATACTATCTCTATCCCCACCTTTAAAAATTGGATGTACTACTGCTTTTTTAAAGACATTAGGGAAAATACCCAAATTGAGAGCATAATGAAACACGTAGGTCAGTACAGGTATCAGTATATGGCTCGCAGATTTAATTGCTGACGTGGAGATACCATCCCATCCGACAGCACAGTTACATCTTAAATTGGTAATTATATTTTCAATTCCCTATCATCCACAGGAAAAAGTGCCATAGAACTGAGAATTGACTAGTTGAGTCAGGGATATATTGTAAGTTTGTAATATGTTGAACGTTTATGCTGCCGTGTAACTGAGACTGAATAGCGGATGCTAGATTTTTACCAACATTAGCGAAAAACTTATTAACTGTATTAATAGAAGACAGGGGATTATTACTAATTTTTAATAATGAACCAGCATCAGTTTTTGTGTTTTGAAGATTTATATATATTATTTGCTATTAGCTTGATAACATTCCACGTCTTTTTGGGATTTCCTTTAGCTTTTGTGATCTCACTTTCTTCAATTTCCTTTTAAACCTTTTTAAAAGATTGTTACAAAAGGTACGATATCGAATATATATAATTTTATGTATTTCATGACGTATACATTTCAGAAGACCTGGTGTGATCCAGGGCTTAATAATGCGTTTTCTACTAGGAATTGTTATACTGTTGCTATGAACTGTAACGATATTGGATATCAGTTCAACGAAAAGATTCGCAGACATTAAAATAAATATAATTTTTTACATACACTGAATTTTCTAATTTATCGGAATCTGAAGTCTCAATCAATTTAGTATTATTTTTACGAAAGAGCATCCAATCATTATCTACATTCTCTGATCTAGTTTATGTATTCTTTAGTAATTCTGTCCTTAGGGGACTTTTTAAAATTAAATAAGGCTCTTTCAATATAACGTTGTAAATCTAACTGAACATTTAAATTAAAGCATTAAAGCATTAAAACTTCCATGTTTATTTTTTTTATTAGAAACTCAAACCGAAATAAACAATAAAAGGAAGTAAAGTTACTTTCAAAATAATCAATTAAAGATTATATCTAAATTGTTTATAAATCAGTGATAACACTACGAAACTTTTTATAAAGTTGAAGAAATTATCAAAATTAAAACATAAAATTTTCTTAGTTAATATCCCATTTAAAGTTAAGAAAAATATACTAAGTCTAAGAGAAATCATAAAATTAAAAGTTAATATGCCATACAGAAATTATTCTAAGTCCATGGAAAATCCTAAAAATTTTACAAGTGTTTTGACAATTTTCAACTGGGCTGAAACCGGAAATAGATTCCTCGTTCCGTCGTTTATTCTTAAATTATTCTAAGTGTCTATTAAATTACATGCGAATGATTCTATGTCTAAAACTGCTTGAAATTTTTGATTTCTAATTAATATAGTTCAATTTTGCTTGGCAAATAAATAACAACAA